ATCTCTTCTAAGGAGACAAAAGTAAAAAATAGAAGTTCTTCCATACGACCCTGAATATATTAAAGAAGAGAATAATTTATCCAAAAATTTGTGAATAACCATCGGCTCGATAATTTATTTATTTTTTTTATGTAAGAGAAGCTAGTTGAGACTATTTAAGTAATTCGCATAATCGTTGATTTATTATTAATTATACCTTCATTGAGATTTGAAAAGTCACTTTTAATTAGGTAAACTATGTCAATTTAAATTTTTAACTTGCAACCTCTTTGTTTAATAATAATTTAATACTGACATTCAATAGATGACAATTTATCCATCAAATCTAGAAATCACAAGTAAATTTTAGACGAATAAATTAATAAAAAGTACTTAATTGTATTTTATGAAATTTGTTCGACTCCATAGATTTCACGATATTCTAAAGATAAGCCCTTATTTGGACTCCATTTTTTCAAAAACTCATTTTTTAAAATTCATTTCTAACTAGCCATTCTCTCATAAAAGTAATTTTACATGTAAATTCATTTTTTATTAAATATTTTAGTCACATTTTAAAAAAATATATATATTTTTTCACAAATGGGTTCAAAGAGGGGCAAAAATTGTCCCAACAACTCACAATTTTATCATTCAGGGCCTGTTTTGGACGATTTTTTCTCTCAAAAAATTGATTTTTTGATCATTATTTTACTATTTTAGCCGTCATATTTGATTTCTTCTCTCACAAGTAGACCTCACTTTTCTCCTAACGGTCAAAAAATTAATTTTCAAAATTACTCCCAAATAGGCTCTCACTCATAGTCATAGATAAAGGTGGAGAAATCCAACTTTGCTTGAACATGCCGCGTTAAGAGTTCAAATCCTAAAATATGGATTTGGTTCTTGGGTAAGTGTAAGTATACAAACAGCCTTCCATCCTGTACCCTTGAAAGCATAACCTACGATTTACCTCCTTCACGATACTTCAGGATAGGGACAGTGAGGGACCCTTAAAGTTGGGGTTCAATCTTTATAATTGATTTTTCTTTTTAAGTGCATTGGGACTCGTTTCGTTATCCGAAACTGAAGAAGAGTCGGGCATTAAGCCTGAAAAAGGGCAACTCTTGTGCCTGATTTCAAGGCATAAAAGTTAAAGAAGAGCTCATCTTTCGCCAGTGTCTTGTCACAAATCTGAGGTCCCACTCAGGTTTCAATTTTCTCCTAATTTTTCGTTAATTACTTTTTATTAAAAAGTGAAAAAAAAACAGATCAAAACATCCAAGTTGCTTAAGTACTAAAATTTCAACACCTTTTTAAAAAAGTAGGAACCGAATAAAGACAAATGCAATTATGCAAAACATCACTTGAGTTGAAGCAATTTTAATAAAATTTGGATAATAATTTATAAATAATTTGAAAAAAAAAAAAGACATAGAAGAGAATTGACATTGGCATCCTCTTTCTTCTCCCTTTGCTCTCTCAAACCACCACTTCTTTTAATTTTCAACAACATTACACGAGCAAAATCTCGAATAAATATTTTCAAAATTAATTTTCAGAGACTTATTAGTTTTTTTTTCCTCAATATTTTGGTCTATGAGTCAGATTTTCTTTTCCCGTATATATATAAAAAAATAAAAATAAAATCTTGTACACCAAATTTCAATTCACTTTGTCAAATAAAAGTTTTAAATTTACTTTTAAGTTTATTGCATAGGCTTCGAGCCCTCCTAAGTATACAACCATGAAATACTTATCTTTTATACTTTTGGCTATAGAAAGTTCGTTTCTTGATAATTTAACATATTTCAGTGTTTCTTGATAATTTAACAAAAATTGATAATCTCAAAAAATAAAAATAAAAAAAAATTCGGAAATAGAAAATTGGACAAAACTTCATATATATTCCAAGATAGTTTCTGATTTCTCACAGCGGATCATCACATTTTTTTTTTCGTCCTGCTGAAAATCTGCTTAACGACAGTTTACCTAATTTTTGTAACTTCCCAACTCACGGTCTTAACATCGACAAGTGCATACATAGAGCCTATATATCAAAGATTAACAGAGAGGCAGAGTTTTCTGGAGAAAATAACAGAACAAAAATGGGGAATTCTTTTGGGTGCTCAGCATCAGGGGAAAGGTTGGTATCGGCAGCAAGAGATGGAGATTATGTAGAGGCTAAGATGCTATTGGATTGTAATCCATGCCTTGCAAAGTACTCAACTTTTGGTGGATTGAACTCTCCTCTTCACTTTGCCGCTGCTAAAGGCCACAATGAGGTTCAACCCCC